TAAAATTGTATAGCACGAACAAATAATTAAACAACTAATCGAGGTAGAAAAATTGCATGGTGAATTGAAGATTTTACCAGGAAGTCGGGAATATAGATCTAGTATTAATTTGTAAAATTATGAGTAAGAAAAATGTAATGGTAACTTATACATTACAAAATTAAATTTGAGTTGGCAATAAAGAGTACTTAATGCATTTTGTTAATTAAACCGTATTTGAATTAAAATTTGGAAAAAAGCTCGAACATATCATGTTTTAAGAGTAAATAGACTAAATGTCGATCAAAACAAATTCCAATACTTCCTTATCATCCTGATTTTGAAATTTTCTAGAGCGTAAACTTCGTTTGGGGATTTACATGATGCGGAGTTCTGGACCTTCAATTCGCCCTTGCTTATAACCTTTCGGATTATTGCTAATTTGAATTTAATTTTGTAATGTGTAAGTTACCCTTACATTTTGCTATTCACTCATAATTTTACAGTTACATTTTTTGGATGAATCGTCATTTCTATTTAATATAGACTTTATTTTCAAATTCGTCCCAAATTAATACATTTTTATGCTGTATTTTACTGCATCGTTTCAATGCTACACTTTAGGTTTTAATGCTTTTATGTTTTATAGGAGTGGTGAACCCAGTAGAACTTTTTTGACTTTAGAGTTAATATAACAAGGTTTATGGGGAAGGTTTTGATCATTTCTACCTTTTAGAATATCTAAACCTGGAAATGGTAGCTTCAATTTCATCCTGGCTAAAGTATGAAGTGCAGTTCTGACACGGTTTCATTTGTTTTTGGAAAAAGAGAGTAGAGTAGCCAAACAACATGCAAGTGAAAGACATCGCCGATCAGTTTGATTGAAGCACAGTCCGTGATAGAAGTTATGCATGCACCCATAAGTGCCGCAAACAGATTTTTACGCGGATGCATTTCACCAGAAAGTTCAATATAAACGCCCGTCTACGATTTTAGTGCAAAATATTTAAAATATCCCATAAATTTATGGCGACGTACACGTTACGACTTATTAAAATAATTTTGTATAGACGTACGATTCGGTTTTATAGGTTTCAAAGTTGGAGACGGTAAAATAAAATAAAGATCCGTGGACCGCGAGAGGTACGGTTGAGCGAGCTGGATCATCCTGAATTTATGGGCCGTTAACTAACGTATCTAGGAATTACTACCGAAATGAAAGATACCGTCCTTATTTTTTGCACATAAAAAACTTTTTCTAGAAACAAAACAAAATGGGAACCTAACGTTACGTACGCACTTGGGAACCAAAAAGTTAATTTTTAGCCGTAATTAGAGGCTAATACCCAACGCGCAGAGTTACATTATGATACCAAGTCGTTCAGGTACATAATACGAGGTGGAACATGCTTCGGCCATAACATGATTTATAACTACACAACACTGGGGTTTTATTACCTATCATTCGAAGCATTTTAATACATCTTTTAACGTGTGTACGTAGGCTATCGGCTCGTATTACATTTCCTTTCTACGCTATTGTTAACAACCGTGCACTAGTTTCGTTTGATATTTTTCT